CTGAGGCGTTAAAACTGCGTTTTACTGCGGGAACCTGTCCCTGCAGGTACCGCTCGGAAGGGAGCGGGGCTGAGCGAAGGGATTTTTTGGCTCTGGCCCGTTATTAGGCGGCGGGATCCCGATCCCCGCGACTGGCCCCAGTGCCCGGGTGCAGCCCGCCTCCGAGCTGCCTCGGGTGTCGCCCATCCACGTAGGTACATCCGCCTGCTGCGAAAACGGGCGATTTCTCAGAAAAATACCTGGAAACCAACACGTTTCACTCATCTTCCCCTCCAAGAGATCAAATGCAACACGCAGGAAGGGAGGAGCTCGATTGGTTCTGTACAGCTAATACAAACATTTATTTAGGTTGCCTGAATAGCTTAAGAAATACGCGATGCAGCTAGCGCTAACATCTGATCGGTGTTATCAGCCCTGCTTTATGGTCCACAGTGAATGAAATCTATATAGGAGCGTCAGACATTGGGTTTCATCGTCGAGACTTTAAAAATCAAAGTTACTGCTGACACCAAAAAGTACATGGTAAACAGGATTTTGGTTTTATCTGGATGTTTCCCTTTGAAGAAAACTAATATTAAGGTCTTACTCAACAAAAGAATCTTTTTAGTCCCAGTACAAAGTGCTCCCTTTAATTAAATTAATTACAAGTTATCTACACACCCTAGGGATGCCTTGTTAAACCTCTGGGTGCAGGATACTTGCCTCCATCTAACCCCAGAAAGGTTAAGAGCTTTACATCACATCTGCCCACAGTGCCAAATTAATGACCAAATACATTAACCAACAAGGTAATCTTCAGCTGTGAGTCAAGAAAATAGCTTGTACAAAAAATAAATTTAATTACAATAGAAAGAATCCTACCTAGAAAATGTGAATGAAAGTGGAGGTATCTTTGTTTTGGTTTTTATGTGCATTTGTTAGCAGAGCAGATGCGCAGCTACCACATTTCTAGAATTAAGCTTGGATCACAGTGGGTGAATGTATCTCCTCTTTCACCCCAGTCCTTGGACTTGGACTTCGTCCTTTCAGATATGGCATCATCTAAAACAGTGCAATAAACACTTTTTAAAAAAACAGTAAGGAAATCTTCCAGAAATATTTTCGGCTAAATCCATAGCCTACTGACTCTTTTATTACTTCCAGTGAAAGTGCTTTCTGTAATTGCTTATCTTCTGTTGCCCTTTAGTCGTTTTAAGCCACATATATTAGAGGGGAATACATAGCCAGAACAACTCCCATTTTTCCTTCAGCAACTTATTAGCATAGCAAATCACTGACTCTGCGCACAATTACAATACCAAGGAGGAATAATAGTTCCACCTACAAGAAAATATTCTCAGAACTGATGTCAACCGCTTTACATATGTACCCATATCATTACTAAGCGAACAGACAGGTTTCAAGACCCAGGTTCGTGAAAGAGAGGGAGGCTCTGATGCTTCCAGTATAGAGCTGAGAAGACAAAGAGTGAGGTACCAGCAAAAGAGCAGCTCCAAAAAAAATAAAGGAGCCACATAATCTAAATATCTAATCACTGATGTCCAATCCACAACGTGTTAGTCACCTATAAGAATATCAGAACAGTAGTGCAGGGTCCATTTCCCATTTTCCACACTATCCTATTTGACAGTGGCCAAAAGTGGATGCTCCAGGAGGGGTGTAAGAACGAGGCAGGCACGAGGAACGTTTCCTCAAAGTGTTAGGGCAGCCTCCAACATTTGTGGCTTTAGGACTTCCTGCTGCATATGTGATTTCTAAGCATTTAGGCTACATACATAGGCTCTGAATACAGTATATTAATGTAAGCTGGGTGCCTTCCGAGCGAGAACCCAAACAAGCAAGGAACTGCTTCAAGTTCAACAGCGGTTTGAAGTCTCTGAGGCAAAGGAAGGGACTGAAAAGAAAGCATCCTTGTGTCTTCCCTCATGACAGCCTGCCCTGCATTTTGAAAGGAGACAGATCCAGTTGGTACATACAAAGTTTGCTCTGAAGTGCCTTCTGGGACTTACAGGAGCGCTTCGTTCCTGGATCCCAACTGTTCATGTTTAGGTATAAACAAAAGAGCAAACTGCCCAGACCTATAACACTGAGTAGTTCTGTGCTTACGCAGAAGCACAACTGTGGATATTTGAAACACATTAACATGAAGGACCTATAGCTTTTAAAGACTTAAAGGATTAGCCAGGAGATGAGGGAGGAGTTTTCAGAACCACCGTTCTGGACTCTGGTACCAAAAATCCAGTCTGATTTCCATTTTGAACACATCCATCCCTTTTACATCTAGCCACTTACCCTTATAACCACTCTTTCAAACACCTTTCTGGTGAACCAGGGAGCCAAAAAAAAAACCACATAAAACCTCAATCAACTATTTATGTTTTGCGTGTTTTTACTGCAAACTGACATGAAGTTTGCACAACAGCAAAGAAAAAACTTGGCTGTAATAAACAAGATGTTGTCTCTCAAATAGCCAGAATCCCTACGGGAAGGTAAAAAAACAGTCTGTCTTTTACATCATATATATCGTCAGATCCTCTCCTAGATGGTTTCTATTAAGTGTGACCATATAAAAATAAATATTGTTTACAATATTATCTAAGAAATACATGCCTATAGAGAAAATATTTTAGCGTAATCTTGTACATGTAAGATACTCAATTCCTTCACAGTTCAGCAGTCGAAAAGAACTCAGGTTCTGCCATCCCTTCAGTAACTAATGAAAGGCATATCTATTTGTGCAGCCTGGGGAGTTTTCAAATAGGTTTGTTTTTTGCAGAAGGAAAGGGAGATGTCTGTTTTGCTGGCTGTTTAATTTTCATCTTTGCAATTTTTGGCAAGGGCACCATGAGCTGTGGATGACTGACTTTCTTTTGTCTAAATTTAAATATATACTTTAAGACTCTTCTTCTATCACCAGTGTTGCATTTTAAAACCAGCATTACCCTTCATCTGATGAAAGACTGAAATTAGGGCTTCCTAACAAGCTTTTCAGAGAAGAGAGTAACAAATACAGGATGAGTAAAAATAGCTGTATTTTCCTGTATACAGCTGTTCTGGGGTGAAATGACCAGACAACATGAAAGGAACAGCATCCTGTGAATCTCTGAATTAATATCCAGTTTCTAGGGCACAACTTTCTTTCAGTAATAGAAACCAATAGAAACTTCTTCTGCTTGCAGAGCTCAGTCTCCTCAGAAATATGTATAACCAAAACCAAAAATTAATTTGAACAGCAAGAAAAAAAATGTTAAAGGCTAGGCAGAAACAGGAGCTGGTGACATATGCCACAGCATACGAAACCTACATCACACAGTCCTGCCTGTAACAGGAAGCAAATCATAGCCATTCCCATTTCCCTCACGGAGCAGATGAAGAAGATGAGAAAAAGCCAGTCTTAGATAAAGTTAAAAGGTGTTTGGCCAAGAGATGAGCCTTGCACTGTGTGCTCAAGGTCAGTAATCTCCAATTCTGACAGACCTCCAGAAGGATTTAATTCTATGATAAGAGATCCTTCACAGCGAAGGCCTTGCCTGTTGTCCTCAAGAAATTTTCAGGGAGAATAATAGCGCAACAAGTGACATGGTGAAATGAAGGGTGTTATATAATGTGTTATGCAGCGTTGTTTTGGTAGCAGCTGACAAACAAAGAGTGCTTTCAAGTAGCATAATTCTGTCCCCTGGCTAGCCAGTGTTTCCTCCCTACCCCAAAACTTTTCAAGCACTGCCTGATGCTTTCTCAGTTTTTCTTTTCCAAAAAAAGGTAGATGAAGTAGAGAAGAGAAGTGAGATTCCTTAATCTACCGACAAAATGCGCATGCCTCAGTGCAGAATTTTTTATCTGTTTAACAGAAAACGTTCATTATTAAGAGACGAATACTGTACGTCAAACTGTAATTGGAATTTTGAAAGAGAGGAAGTTATTTATGCAGCTCTTAATTTGGCAACAATACCAATCTCTATATTTTCTTCCTCAGAGGCACTATGGGATCTTTAATGATTACATGTGATCAAGATGACATCTTGCCTGAAAAAATGCTCCTCTGGCACACCAGGGTACACCTATCAGAGAGGTAACAGCACTCAGTGGTAAAAAGAATTTAAAAAAAATCGTAATTGTACCTTCTGCTTTGTCAATGTTAGAGAATTTGTACACACGCTAGACAAAACTAGAATACCAGATTTTTGGTATTTCCCCATTCAATGATGCCAGGACCAACTTAGCTCAGTTTTTAAGAGTTCAGAAGATCATTTCTAATGACTGCAAATGGCAATCAGGCAGATGTTCATTTAGGGTAGGAGAAGCTTTACACAATTTTCTACAGCTTTGGCAAAGCTATTTATAGGATGTGTTCAGCGGCTACTGCAACTGTTTTGGATTACACGTGATGTATATAGTCCTGAACAAAGATAAAGATATACTGAGTCTATCTGAACACTACATTTTCTGTTTGTATGCGTCCATTAATTAAAGTCTCCCGCAACTTATCCTTTGTCGTTTCTATTGTAGCATTCTGGAAGAATACTGAACGCTGGAGTGGTAATTTGCTGCGATGGTCTAAAGACACTGGTCGGTCAAGATTCATTGGTAGAACCGGTATAGCTGGAAAAAGTACAGGTTTTTTTTTATTATTATTATTATTTTTGTATCCTGTGCTACTTCAGCAGACTTTGTACAAAGTCTGTTGGTACAGGGGTCACATACTCAAAACCTTACCTCACAGAGGTTCCTAGTGAAATGTGTAAGTGGGCCTATGAAAATAGATGTAACTTTTGAATCAGAACAGTAGCATTTTGCACACAGGGTGAAAAAAAGCACAAGGCCTGCTGCAAATTCTTATTTCCTAGGTCAGCTGGTCTTAAAATTTTCAAATAAATGGAGACATATTAACCCCAAATATTTCTCCCAGAGGATCGTGAACCTTTTCATTAAAACGTTCAACTCAGAACACTGTAAGGCTGACGTAAATTATCTATCTTCCGTTGAGTATGTTTTCGTGGGCCACTGAAACTGTTGGCAGCTGACACTTCGGTATCTGTTAGGAAGATAACATTGCTCACCTTCACAATTAAACAGACTTGTGAAATCTTAGGGAAAATACCCATGCTAAAGCAGCGACAAGCATTTTGCAAGCCAGCAAGTTAAGTAAGGCAACTTCACGCATCCTGTTCAGAAGTTTGGTAAGCTGACGTAATATGCTGTATTTTAAAGGGTACAGTTTTGGTCGAAGCCATTGTTATGAAAGGAAAAAGTTTTGTGTCGCTCCATTTGTTTCTGCCAAATACCGTGTAAGTCTTTGTGATGATGGAATAAATGGTATTTAGTGTAACTGCTAGAGTAGTCCCATATATTCCTTTAACCCGCAATAGTGTTAAAAGACCATGTCAGATTCTTTTCCATCAGACCCCGTTCAACTCCTATAATAAATACAGGGATTTTTAACTGCTTGCCTACATCAAAACCCAAAGTGCTGTATGAGAGCAGCGGCGTGAATAGGTATTTTGTTAACTGAACAGCGACACTGATAGCAGGGAAACAGCACAGTAACTCACTCTGGGCATAACAGTACTGAAAGGCTCGCTTGCCTGTATTTGTATTTTTTAGTATACGATACTCAATTCACTGAAATCAGTGGGGGTTCTGCCATTGCCTTCAGTGGGTAAAAGGCCTGACCTTTAGCGGTTGGTTAATTGGAGTTGACGAACTGAACTAAGGTTTATCAAACACCCAGATCCACAAAGTTCTGAGATCCCTCAGCTCCCAGTGAGATGAATTATAACGGAAGAAACTGCCACATTTTGCAAAACTGAATGTCAGAGCAGGAGATCTGGCGGTGCCTCATGTCTGAAAATTGCTCTGAGTCAAACCACTGTTAAGAAGGGAAGAGTTGGTCCATACAACCAGAAGAACGCTTCCATCCAGAGTTTAGTTGCGATAGCCACTGAATTTTGTGTGAGAATATTTTAAAAGCATTATTTGTATCTCCAGGAGAATCTTCTGACTGATACGCTATCCAAGGGGGTGTCATTATCATGAAGCCACAGCAAAGCTCCGAATCCTTTTTTCCATGACATTCCTAAACTGTTTGCTCCACCCTGATTCATTTTAGGAAACTGATAAGACAGCTGTGAAAATACACCATGTAAAGCACTTTCATATTACAAACCAGTTGGCAGGATTTGCACTTTTTTTTTTCTCCCAAAGGAATAAAGATTGTTGTTTATTCCACTTTTTAAAAAGATATATGAACTAAAACGTAACCTTCTCTTAATTAACCTAACGGGTATTGTTAAGTAGGTGTGTACTGACAGAACGTTTTGGCTTGCAAAAATCAGCAAAGAAGCTGCCTCTGAAATGCATGTGGGCTACACTTAAAAAAATTTTGTTATTATGAAAGGGGGTGTGGGTCTTTCCTTTCATGAAAATGTTCATCATTAATATTGTTCCTATTCAGTGCCTACTATAACCGTTATTACCTTTTCATTTGACCGCTTTCCATCACAAGGTGATAGGTCTAGAGATCTGCAAAACTTGTATGTTGGCCCTCTTTTCGGCAGTATGTTCCTATGGGACTTGTGCTGTCATTCTTTTATGGAAGTACAAAGCCAGGAAAAAAAAGGCCTGAGTGCTTCCTATTAATAAAGACTTCATGGCGATTTTTTCAAAATCATGTATCTTCAAGGCAAGAACGTGACAGAAATGCAGTTTGGCTTGTTATGCGGTGTTTTGTTTGTACCTCCTTCCCAACATATCAACTGCTCTGTTATTCTATTGCAAATTCTTACACTTTTGGGAACTGCTGTTGTGCACTGTGAAACGTTTGTTGTTTTTCACCCTAGAGATGCCCGCAGTTCAGTGTTAGATCCCTTTGCTAGAGTTACTACCGCTCTATGACGTGGCACAGGAATTTAAGCGTTCAGGACAAATGACACTATAGACATACTTGAGCTGAATTTCCAAAGTTAAAAATTATGCTCTGAGGCTGCAATTTCTTTTTAACTGTTTCCTTACTTCAGTGGATCCCAGCTGTTGGCTAGCAGTTATTATCCCCACTCTTGACTCTCTCTCACCTATTGTTCTTTGCACCGATGCATGAAATAGTTATTTCTTCCTCCTGGTTCAAACGCGATGCCTGCAGCCTAGGCCTGCAACTGAGAAACAAAGTTTGATAACAGACATACAACTGGACAACTCTGGAGAGCTACAAATTGCATCTGCTACCACTGGACTCACTGTGTGCATGCTCCTGGCATAAGGATCCCGGGGATATCTCCAAACTGTCTGCATTAAAACATGTCCTGGGATGGGCAGGATGAGGAGGGCTCTTTGCCATAGCTTTCAGTGCCTTTCACTGCTATTTTAGCCAGAAGTAGAATTGGTGAGTGAAACACTGAAACACCTAAAGTAAATGCAGCCCTTGGGATGCAAAAATGAAGAATGCAGTTTCTACCTTGCCACCTCCTTTTGCGGGATCCTGAGAAGAGGCTTCATCGAATCTGGGGGCTCAGCATTGGACTGGGAGACATTTGGAAGTATACTAGAGGCTCTCTGTTGCTTGTCCCTAGGGAAGATTCCCATGCATAAATCCCTCTGGGAACATTTTTGCTTTCCTCAGAGTCCCAACCTAGTTGCTTTTGAAATCTACAAAGAATTATAAGTTAACACAGCCATGAATGCATGGCTGTGTGGCTTTCTTCCTATGGGTTTCTTCTCTGAAAGAGGGTGATTTGATAGAACAAACCATTTTGTATCAACCAATTACACCCGAGCGCTCCATAATGGGCTGAAGCCCAGGTAATTCAGAACACCACTTTTGAGCCCTACAACTCATGCCTATAGCTCTGTCTTGCTTTTTTATTTTTTTTCTTTTTCTTTTTTCAATGTGAGTACCTTTTGTGTAACATCAGATACTTTACAGTTAATTTTTTAAGGTAAAAGTCATATTTGAACAGAATCAAAAATAAGCAAGTGCTAAAATATCTGCAGTGCTGGGGCTGTGCCAAACACCCACAGATTCTGTACCCAGTACTCAAGTCTTGTCAAACAGCTCAGCACATCTTTATTCTAATCATTTACTTTCATTTTATGCCTAACGGAGAATTGTCCTGATTAATCAAGCAAAGCACGGCAAGAAAAGTACAGAAAACGTTTGGTCAGCTTCGGGTATTTGGTGCTGTTATCAATGCTCTAACCTCCGCAGGACGCTTTTGTTGAAATATTTAGGTATATGTGTACTGATATATACAGCTCCCCAAAGTCTTTTAAATATGTAATTAGATAACTCTAAACAGGGAGGTGGCAAAAACTGTTAGAGGTTACATAATGACAGTTAATGGGGAAAGGGCCAATGGGTTAGTAACTCCTTCTGGCAATGCAACCCCGATCGTGGTTTTCAGTCTGTGATCATTCACTGTAGTCCTTGTGACCATGGAGGTCACGGCGTTTCTCAAGCGATGAGCACCATCGCTGGAAGATTTTGGGGGAGACCACAAATTAAAATCAGTTAAAAAAAAAATCACTGCTCAAATCAGAGTGAGTTATAAAGCATGAGGAAACTACATTTGTTGAATAAAATAAGGACTTTGGGAAACTGTTAAGCATTAACAAGCACTCGTGTGTTGTGAGGAACACCAGTGCTTTACTGATGTTACAGAAAACAAGTGATTCACAAGCATTCTGTATGCTGATGATGCAAGCCATTTCCCAGTATGTAAAAAAGCATAGTTCCAACACACTGCAGTGATCAAGGACAATCCCTTTACCTATAATAAGTGTGGCTACACTGGATGTTCTGAAGGCCTTGGAAAGCAGGAGGTCTAGCAGGGCCAGGATAGCAGTATGAAGGAAAAAAAAAAAAGACAAAAAAACCCACCCAAAACATCATAAACAATTACAACACTGTATTAAATGGCTCTCATTGCAGCTAAAGCTGTGGGGACACCAGCTGGACCTGAGGCAGGAGAAGCTGCTGGTCTCCTAGGAGCTTCCTAATAATTGCCCTAATCTCTGTGGTGCAATAGGACAGTCTAAACTCATGACAATATGGTAAAGCAATACCCTTTATATAATGCCCTTAATACGGCATAAGCTAAAAGGAAAGAGACTGGTTGCAGTGTTTAGACATAGTGAATTAATGCTAGCCAGGTTTTCTCCTCTCCTCTCCTCTGAAAGAACATACTGCAAACTGCTTCCCTAAAGGAGGCTCGATAACTGGAGATGCTGCTTGTATCCCCTCCAATTTGGAAATGTTCCTATCCTCGGTCACTGTAGGGCTACGGCAGTAGGTCATAATACTTTTTCTACCTCTTTTGGTGTAAATATCACACTCAACAACAACCCCTCACAAGAAACATCAGTTAACTACTGGCTTCTGTTCATTTCTTTCTTTTTTAAATGTGTATTGTTGAATAATTCTTCCTTTTTATGAAAGTTTTTACAAGCAAACTGAGGGAGACTGATTTAAATCAGTACCTTTTAAGGAAGAAAGAATTAGCTAGCAGAGGCAGTACAGCCCCAAGCATAGCAACAACAAACAGTCGCACAAAAGAGGCCAACATTTTCACAGAAGTGCTCAGTATTTAGTTCTCCAGCTAATGTCAATACAGTATGCAGTACTTATCAGCTCTGAAAAAAAATCAAGTCTTGAGAGTGTGGGTGGAAGACCAGGAAGGTAGAGAGATCTCTAAGGATGGGCTAGCACACGTACACTCTACAGGTCTGTAAGCGTTACCAAGTGATTGCTTCAAGTTTGAAGCCCAAATGAAACTAGGACACTTCTTCCAGAGGTGTAAAAACACTCGGCCAACAGCGTTCTGGCCTCTCAAATTTAGGAAGTAGTTTTGAATAGGACCGGAACGCATATAGAGTCATAGTAAGGGACATGAAGAGGCATCAGGATACAGCATAGAGGCAACAAAGTCAGGCAGAGAATGAGACACGATAAAGGTGAGTTTTGAGCACGACAGAGATGAAAATAATCCAAGGGAACAATTCCTGTTCCTCCAAGGCCTTGTATGCAAAATGAAAAAATAAAAATCTTTCCTCTGCCGCTTGCAGAATAAAGAGGCTTCCCTTAGCTAGCCTGAGCGTAAAGAGAAAATAAATGCTGTTTCTTCATCTGGAGCTCCAACTGACAAGAAACACCCCTGACTAGTATGTTGGAGTCAGAATCAGGAGAAAGAGAGTAAGAAAACAGCCTGTTTTTCCTGTAGATTCACTTTCCCCACACCCTGGATTATGCTCCCTTGTATAGGAGATGGAAATCATTCGCACTCTTTTGCTGAACGAAAAACAGCAACCAGGCAGCTGGTATCAAAGACAGGGACTTGTTTGATTTGTTAATACAAGCACCTATGATTAGGACGCATAGGGAACAGTGACTGTACCAAAACAGAGAACAACACAAGAATGAGGTCAGGCCAAAGGCAGAGTCTGGAACAGGGGGAAAGACAAGACCGAGGCAAGGTCAAACAGAAACAAGCCATTTCTAAACTACCCTTGTTCAGGAAACACTAGCTGTCCGCACTGAGGATTCATGCTAACTCCAGAGCAGCAAGCTGTGGTTGTACTGGACTGGCTGGTGACAAAGGTCACCTTGGATGGGTCATGTTGAGTCCTTACATCCAGAGATCTGAGAGCATAACTCCACTGTAACACTAATGCTGTTCTTCGGGCAATACTTGAAGTACGTCTCTGCTTTTCAGTCTCTTAAGCCGCCTTCCCTCAGACAATAATTTCCAGGTGAGGTGGCTCATATTCTAATACTGAGTTAATGATTGACTCTATAAATGTTCCTGAGGTTGTACTGTTAATAAACTTGCAAAAGAGTCTGACCTGAGAGGCAAAAGTAACCTTGTAGTTTGGAACAACAGCTTTAGGATTTGTGTCTCAAAAAAGACTGGGTGCAGAAGATTAAAGTTAAATCAGTGATGAGGAATACTAACTTGAGAGAAAAAAAAATCAAGGAAACAAACAAAGAAAAACAAAACAACAACAAACAAAGAAAATGATCAAAGCATTCCGGAGCTTAAAGCTCAGGTGCTCCTGAACTGGAGAAGTCTGAAATAGCGCTCAAGAATTCAGATCTGAGCAGGGACTAGAGTACTCCCACAGACAATAAGCTGTGATTTCAATATGCCCTGGTGGAGCATTATCTCTGCTTTGTGCTGTCCCTTACACATGGGGAATAACTAAATGTAAAGAGATTATCCTTGTAGCATGGTGAGATGATTTGAGTGATGATGGATGAATTAGAATGGGGCAAGAAAGCAAGGCACTGGGAAAAAAATGAAAATAATTGGGTAAAATAAATAAATAAATAAAGACACTCAGAATCTAAATGACTTTGATGGGAACCAAAGTCATCTGTCGGGACAGTCAGACCTTCTTCTTTGGTAGGGGAGGGCAATGAGACCCTGGCGAGAGGTGCAGCGAGCCCCAGCTGGATTTAGGGGAGAGAGGATCACCAAAAGAAGCCCAGGGCCAGTTTTGCTGGAGTTTGAAATATTTTTTTAATCGTTGATCTTTCAGGGCTAAGGCAGAAGGCCCCTCTTCTCCAAATTGTAATTATCTAAACTAATGGCTGGGGTACAGGAATTTGTGGAAAGTCAGACAGCAAGACACAGTATGTGTTGGGGCCCAAGCTAACACAGAAAAGGACACCCAGAAAGTTTAAGATTTAAATAAATTTCATGTATGCCAAAAAGATAAAACTTAGACGTTTTAATGTCAGCTTCCAAAAATTTTCTTAATATAGGCCTAAAGTATTCAAATTATCGTCCCTTACCTTATGCCTCCCTGGAAATTGCTTTTGGCTTTTAGGACCTTATATAATGTCCAATGCAGTCAATGGGAGCGGCTTTTGAAAAATTTCCAGGAGAGCCATTAAAGTTCCTTCTTGGCTGCCTTTGCAACATGCTGCAAGTTTCATCTGTGAAACCTGTGTATATGAACAGAAAAATATCTGAGCAAGTCAAAGAAGAAAACATTCTTCAAACGTGCTCTGCACAGGCCACCAATAGGCAAGTATCACAACAGCAGCAAACAGCTGAGGACACAGACGTTGTAAATTCCAGCAGTCCATTCAATATTCAACTACAGGAAAAAAAAATTAAGCTTCTTGAGCGTCATAAATAAGTCCAGCATGAAGAAAACCATTTACAAAGTGCAATATCTGAAAATGATCTCTCATATATGAAAAGATGAACTGCAGCAAAATGTTTAACTGGGAATGAAAAGGAAAAAGAGAGAAAGAGTGAAGTGTCTTAAGATTTAGCACTTGAGGAATATATAACAGGTTTTGCCAAGAATTATTCACATACATCTGCACAATTCCCATCCATCTATTTTTTACTTTTTTGTGGGCCAATAAAAATAGCTGTGTATTGTCAGTTCTAAAAATAAGAGTTTAAGCTTTATACAGCATTTGTATCACAGTACAGAAAAGAAAGCAATTATGTTCAAATTAACTTTTCTCACAGCTTATATAGCTCTAGCCATATTAGATTGAGGGTTTATCAAGATTTTTCCTCATCCTTAGACAGGAACAAGAAAAAACACACACAGGAAAAGGTTGGATGACCCTTGTCTTCAACCTACGCTCTGAAGGTG